TTGGGAGAGCTGTTTTCTTTCCACTCGTGATCTCACCCTTTTTCTCTCCCTCTTCTAGTTCCCTTGTCCCTGTCTCGTACGTTTGTTGTCAGCAGAACAGAATTATTAGCAGCAGGTTCTCCAGGTAAATCCGCATGCTTCTTTTTCACCATTCTTGTGTCTGCACTGACCTCATAAAAAGCCAGTTGCAGTCTGTATTTGTCTAACTCCTTTACTTGTTAGAGAGAAGTTCAACCAAGAGACATACCTGACAGGTAAGCATCCTAAACTTTCAGTTATCATATATATAGTATCCCAATGTCTGTGAGTCTGTAACGCTGAAATGCTGGCTGTTCCCTATGGGCGGCGCTGTTGATGAAATGCTGGCTGTTCCCTCTGGGTGGCCCGTGCTGCATGGGGCGTGCAGAGCCCAAATGCCTCTTGCGCCACTTTCTCCCCCATGGCGGCCCGGCTGAGCGGCGCAGAAGTCAGCCGAGCGCCACGGCGGGAGGAAAAGGAGGAGCGGGGCGGTGATGTGCAGCGTGACAGTGGCTCCAGGCCCCACCCCCTGGCCGTGAACATCACCATCCCGCCCCCTTCGCCTCCCACCGTGGTGCTCAGCTGACTTCAGCGCCGCTCAGCCGGGCCACCGCGTGGGAGCAAGTGGCGCAAGCGACCGTTTGGGCTCTACGCCCCCCCATGCAGCACGGGGAGTGCGGAGCCCAAACGGCCATTTGGGCTCCGCAGTCCCCCGAGTGAGAGGCAAGAGGGGGAGGAGAAGAGAAAGAGAGAGAGAGAGAGAGGCAGGAGGTGGAGGAGAACTGAGAGCGGGGAGGGGCGGGGGGGAGACAGGAGGAGGAGGAGAGAGAGAGAGACGGAGTGAGAGACCGGAGGTTCAGGAGAGAAGACTGACATGGAGGAAAGACCTGAAAATCCCGTCTTATGATGGGCTAATTGGATAGTGAATAAATAGTAGCACACTTACAGACACATCAAAGTGAAATAAAAGCACTACCTTTTTGAAGAGAATATAATGAAAAGGTCCTTGTTTATCTCCCTCCCATATGGATATGCTATCAGGGTGATTTCTATTTTAAAAAATCTGATACCTAGCCTGGGCTCATATACAAAACATCTTAATTCCACAGAAGATGGAGCTAAAATGGAGGAAAGCATTCAAATGAACTTCTAAGCAAATAAAATTTAACTTCAAAAGAGGTGTTGAATCTCCAAACAAAATTTCAAATTACATTGTTCACACACCGAGTATCCTGTTTCATGTGCTCAAAGACTCTGTCATCTTCAAAATTGATTTATTTCACAGATTTCCATGGAGACTTGTAAATAAAGCCAAATTTGATAGTTTTGCCCATACTGGTATTGAAGTTATTCATACACATAATGTGTGCATGTGATCTATGGAAACGTGGGGATGGGGTGTTTTGTTTGTTTTAAAACCATGCATCACTCAAATGACTTAACAGATTATGCTTAACCTTCCCCCAAAACATTTCACTTGAGGACTGAGACCAAGGATGGAATGTATTGGGCTACCAAGAACTTGTTAGGAGCATTTGGAATGATTAGAAACAGGGAGGAATGGAAATAACGCAGTAAATGGCAGAATGTACGGGAATGACTGTTCCTCAGCAGATGCTGAGCCATGCTGCAATTTTGTTTTCCACTGAATTTACCTTGTTCATGTTAATGCCACTGTCTTGCTGTACCGCTAAACAGAATATGAACAGGAAAATATGTGTGCGCCTAAAAAACCAAAACCACCCCCTTTCCTCCAAACTTCAATGAACAGACCAAACGGAGCTCTCACCGGGCATTTCCTGAACTTTTGGTGTTTGTGGCTTCTACTCTCTGGGCTTTTCCTCTCTCTCTTTAATTTTCTGCCATTTTTTACCCTCTGTCCTGAAATTAGTATTATATGCATTCCAAACAAACTACAGGTGATTGCCCTGCAGGGGATTTTTTTCAGGCACAGTTAAAGTTTCCAGCGGCTAAAATGGAAAGGAAAGCAGTTTAATCTTTCTTTAATTAAACTGTTTGATGGCTTTATTTTTTTTCTTGAAACTCTGCAGCTTTGATTATCTTTTTTGCTCAATTCTTTTGCTGTTCCCAGGTCATCTTTTTTTCATTTTTCCATTTTACAGTTGAAATGTATCCCTTGCACGGGCAAACCGTTTCTGATATAAATGCCAGACATTTTTTCCTAGCTTTTTCCAATGGAAAGAAAAAAATGGAAAATAATAAATGTGGGGAGAATATACCCCCTGAAGTGAATTCATATGGTAACTCTGCTTGCTAGAGCAACTTACGGTGCAGCTCACAGACAGGTGTGTTGTGAACATGTAGTGACCATACCAGGATTCTCAGCTGTCGTATTGGGGCATTCTGAAAATGGTCCCGTTGTGTTAATCCCAAATGTGTACTTTACTGTTACGCTTGTGGGTTTTGCCATTGAATCCTTTCTGTAGGAATTTGCTTTCTAGATCCAAGCTGACACAAGGGAATGTGCTAGTCTTCAGAGAGCATGGACCTGCGGAGTTTCTCTCTGTCTCATGCTTTGTTTCCTCATTTCTTCATACACACCTCCCAACTCCCCCGAACTCTGCACATCCCCAGCTGCTTGCCTGTCTTCCTCACTTTCACCCATATTTTGTGTCCCTTACTTTTTGTGCTCTCCCTTGCATATTTGCTGTTCTTGTTCTGTCCTCTGTCTCCAGCCACTCCAT